ATATAAAAAAAATCTTAATTTATCAATAATATATTATAAAAAATATTGTCTAAAATAGATGGAGAATAATTTTTCTGCAGTTGACCGTTAACTAGTATAAGAGCGTGGGCTGTATCCTGTGCTCATTCCAAATTTCCTGTGGCATACATTTAGGAAATTCAGATGGACCGCATAAAAACTAAAAACTTAATGGGTCTGTTTTCAGCCCTCAGCCCAAGTAGTCTGATTTTCTCGGATTTTCTCGCGTTCGGCATTTCTTTTCCCTCCGAAAATGTCATCCAGAAAATTTCCTGAGCATGAAAACAAATCTATTCAGAATTATTCATTAATTTCTTGAAGAAACTTGCTCCAAAATGTCTTGAATTAACAATGTCAAATTGAGATACGAAAACCCACCTTCTTCGATTGTTTTGTTCGCGATGTGTCCGAGCTTTCTCGCCCTCTTTCTCCCCTTCTATATCGTCGCCGCCGGCCATCAGTTGCTCTACGGCCCTACTCACTTCTTCCCTCTTCACGGCAATGCCAGCCTTCTCCGGTTCCCCCATCTTATGGAAACCTTGGAACCCAGACTCACACCGATCTTTGCTACTTGAACGATGAACCTATCGTTGTAGAACTGCTCGGCGAACATCGGCCAGGTTTTGGTCGGAATACCGGTGATCACAGCTTCTAGAGTTGAGTTCCATCCACAATGCGTTAAGAACCCTCCGATTGCGGGATGATATAGGATCAGAACTTGCGGTGCCCAACCGCGGATCAGAATTCCTCTCCCTTTTACCTCAGCCTCTCTTATTCCTAACCGAAGAAGGTCGGAGCCCTTCAGCATTTTGATTCCATTGGGGAGCTGCGCTTTGGTCAATTCAATCCTGTCCGGTAACCCAGGAACGGCGAAGGTCTCCGATTCTGAAACAGTCTCATGAATATTAGTAGCCAGTATATTCTCCGTGCACAACGGAGAAAAACAACTAGTCCCATCGAACACAAACCTGGGAATCCCTAACTTGTTAGTGTAAGAATTTATCAATATAAATATAATACAAATTAGATTTTAAACAACATATATAAATAATTAAATACTAAAATCCGTACCATTATTGTACGTCATTGATATGTATACTTTCAAAAGAAACAAACCAAAAGAGTTAAAAAGGCTAAATCTTCCTTTCCCTATTCAACTTCAGTGACAATCAATAGGTCATGTTATTTCCTAATTTTACTATTCATAAAAGTAGGGTTTTTTGAATGGGAGAGGAGACTTATCTCTATTATAGTAATATTTTTGGTACCCCCATCAAGTAACCCATCTTTTAGGCTCTACATATATTTATATCATACTATATAAAACTGAGATAAAAGTTAGATCCATTTGGATCACATAATTTTATTGGGTTTACCAATTTTTTTCATTTGACCCATTTTAAGAAAAACTAAAATACAATTAGCAGAAGCTTACATAAATTTTCTAACATTCTCCCACTTTGGCAATGCTAATTGGTTTTAAATTTAAAAAGAAACATACTTTAAAATGACTCTTGGATCAAACACAACTTTAGTGACCACAAATATAAATTAAAATGACTCTTGAGTCAAACACAACTTTAGTGGCCACAAATATAAATTAAAATCTCAGTACAAAATTTCGTTCAATGGAAATATCGATATTGAATTGTGGTAATCATTGCATCCTTTTTCAATGCAAGATCCCTCACAATCACAAGATATCAAATATTTCCACCAACATGAATTTAAATAGGTGTGATAAAGTGTAGTGTGGTTTGATACAACATGATCCTTATAATATCTATATAACATGTCAAAACCACAACAGTCCTTTTATGATTTCAAAGAAATCTTTTCACTCTTCCTCATGGGAAGACTTTTATTTCAGTTTCAAAGAAACTTAGGAGTAAACTCTCAACCCTTTTAAATTAATCACTTCAGTAGAAGCCTTATAACCTTTGTATCTGAAACACCACACATTTATATATATATATATATATATGATACCAGTATATATATACCAACATGAATTCACAACAAACATGTGCATAAAAATAAGAGCACATAATAAAATGAAATCTGACAATATAAGCTTTATTATTGTAAATATTGAACAGTCATAATATCTTAAAAAATTAACTCCCACTAACCCAGTATATCTAAAGAAAATGACAACCCCATGTTTCTCACATGTCTTTCAAAGTCAATGGGTCTAAGTCCTTTTGTTAGTGGGTTAGCAAGCATATCTTTTGTACCAATATGCTCATACTCAATAGCACCATTATCAATCGATAGCCTAATTTTGAAGTATTTTAGCTCTATAAATTTTGCATCGCTAGTATTTTTTTGTGCTTTTGGAAAAAGATATTGCAGAAGAATTATCACAATAAATTTTAAGTGGTTTAGAAATGGAATCAATCACTTTCAATTCTGCAACAAAATTCCTCAACCACTTGGCATGGCCTCCTACTTCAAAATAGGCTATAACCTCAGCTTCCATAGTAGAGGCTGTTGGAATAGATTGCTTGGAACTTTTCTAAGAGATTGCACCACCTGCCAGCATGAATATGTAATCAGTAATGGATTTCCTATCATCTGTACAGCCAGCAAAATCAGCATCTGCAAATCCTACCACTTCTAAATTTTCAACCCTTCTACAAACAAGCATGTGATCTCCTGTTTTTCGTAAATATCTCAAGGCCTTCTTTTCAGCAATCCAGTGATCATAACCAAGATTAGACAAAAATCTACCAAGTATACTAGTTGCAAAAGCCATATTTGGTCTGGTACACACTTGTGAATACATTAAACTCCCAACAGCACTACTATAAGGAACTCCCTTTATCTGCTCCTTCTCAAGATTGTTTTTAGGACATTGTTCAGTACTCAATTTGTCCCCTTTATTTATTGGAGCCACACCAGGTCTACAATCCTTTAACCCAAGTTTGTCAAGAACCCTATCAATATAGGCTCTCTGTGAAAGTCCCAACATTTTCTTAAATCTATCTCTATGGATTTCTACACCAAGAACAAAGGCAACCTCTCCTAGATCTTTCATGTCAAAGGTTTTAGAAAGCATCCTTTTGACATCCAACAATAATTCTACATCACTACTAGCAAGTAAAATATCATCTATATGTAATACTAAGAAAATATACCTACTCCCATTGATCTTGAGATATACACAATTGTCAATAATATTCTCCACAAAACCTAAGGATGTGATAACCTCATGAAACTTTAGATACCACTATCTAGAGGCTTGTTTTAAACCATAAATAGATTTCTTCAATTTACATACCATGTGCTCCTTCCCTTCTACCTCAAAACCTTCGGGTTGTATCATGTACACCTCTTCTAACAAGTCTCCATTTAGGAAAGCAATCTTAACATCCATTTGATGAAGCTAAAGATCAAAATGTGTTGTTAAAGCCATTACAATTCTAAAAGAATCTTTAGAAGAGACTGGAGAAAAAGTCTTTCTATAGTCAATTCCTTCCTTCTGTGTATACCCTTTTGCAATTAGTCTAGCCTTGAACCTTTCAATCTTCCCTTTTGCATCCTTCTTGGTTTTATAAATCCATTTACAATCAATGGGTTTAAAACCAACAGGAATTTCAACCAATTCCCAAACTCCATTACCATACATAGATGACATCTCTTCTTCCATGGCAAATTGCCATTTATCTGACTATGGACTTCTAATCAAGGTTTTGAAAATCGGACCGGATTGGTCGGTTGAACTAGTTGGACCGATACTCGGTCATGAAAATGAGTCGGGTTGATATCTTAAACCGTTTAGGTGGTTGAACCGTTTAAAACCGCTCAAACTGTTTAGACTGGTCAGAACCAACAACCCGTGCAACTGGCCAAGCCAACTCTTTGGACGAAATTCTCCAAAATTTGCCTCGTGTGGGTTTCGAACAGCAGATCTCATGAGAGGTTTGCGAGCAATTTGCCACTAGAGCATCCAACCTGTTGTGAAATTTGTTGCAAAGAATATCTTTTAAAGAATATTACAAGGATTTTAAAGGAAAAATGGCCTCCTTGGGATTTGAACACTGAATCTCTTAAAAGTTTCAAATAACTCCTACCATTTGATCTGAAGCAAGGTTGTTGTGTGTGGATGCATTAAGATTTATTTATTATAATATTATTATGTAAATTGAATAATTTTAACACACATAAGACTCAAACCTTAGTTCTCTTTACACTAAGTACGGAACCCTAACCACTTGAGCCACTACTAATTCATTGAAATGGGTTACATTATATTATATTTAATATATATATATTCAAAATTCAATCAACCTGGTTTTTTAATCGATTAAACCTGTTGGACCGATAAAATCATGAACCGAAAGTCAAAACAGTTTGACCTCCGATTCGGTTTTGAAAACATTGCTTCTAATGGCTTCAGAAAAGGTTATTGGGTCTAGAATTGTCCCAAAGTCATAATCTACTTCCCTTTAATAGACTTCAAAATCATCTGATATAATAGGTCTCTTTTGTCTTTGAGACCTAATGGGAACTGTAGGATCTAGTTGAGTATATTGTAATTTATCAGAAGATGTAGGTTGATTCGTCACATCTTGTTGGTTTCTACTCTCTGACATTGGCACCACCTCCTTATATATATTAGATAATTGTATAGTTGTTGAAGGTTTCTCAAAACTTGACAAAAGACTATCCTTGTCACGTGAACAACCACTATCTCCAACATCCTCCTCTAGAAACTTTGTTGTCATAGATTCAACAATCCTCATGTTATTTCCTAGGCAGTAAAACCTGTAGCCTTTAGAAGTTTCTGGGTAACCAATAAAAAATCCAGGTGTTGTTCTAGGATCAAGCTTTTTCTCATTAGGATTATAAATCTTAATTTCTGCAGGACACCCCCAAACTCTTAAATGATTTAAACTGGGTTTTCTACCTGTCCATAGTTCAAAAGGTGTTTTTGACACAGATTTACTAGGAACTTGGTTTAGGATATACACTACTATTTTCAAAGCTTTCCCCCAAAGGGATTCAGGTAACTTACTTCTACTCATCATACTCTTCACCATGTCTTTGAGAGTGCGATTCCGGCATTCAGCCACACCATTCTGTTCAAGGGTTCTAGGCATTGTATATTGTGCCACAATACCACAATTCTGTAGGAAATCAGCAAAAGGTCCCTAAGACTGATCCAAGTCTCCATGTTTCCCATAATATTCACCACCACAATCAGACCTAACAACTTTGATAACCTTCCTAAGTTGTTTTTCAACTTCAGCCTTAAAAATTTTAAACTTCTCAAGCCTCAGATTTTTTATCAATTAGATAGACATATCCATATCTAGAAAAATCATCTATAAAAGTTACAAAAAATCTTTTACCACATAAGGTGGGAGGTAAGGGTCCATTAATGTCTGTGTGAATTAATTCTAACACACTACCTGAATGTGTAGCACCATGTTTTCTTGTTTTGGTCAACTTCCCTCTAATGCAATCCACACAAATTTTAAAATCATCAAAATCGAAATTAGGAAGAATTTCCTTTTTAATCAATTTGACAATTCTTTCTTTAGAGATATGAGCTAACCTTTTATGCCACAAGAAAGAGGATTTTTCTTTAGTCAAAACTCTTTTGGTTCCAGTCTTTTCGATATCAAAACAGTAAATTTCTATAGATAAGTTTAGTCTGTGCAAACCATCTTTAAGAAAACATTCACCAATGCAATTTGAATTAAGAAAAAGTTCAACCCTTTTATTGCGGAAAATAAAATGATAACCAACTTCATCGAGTTTTGAAAGAGAAACTAAACTTCGTCTCATTGACGGTACATAGACAGTATTTTCTAAAATAAGACTAGAACCAGATTGAAATTTTAAAACAACAGTTCCAATGAACTCCACTTTGACTTTGACTCCATTTCCTACATGCAGATTGATTTCTCCCTCATTTGTTTTCCTTTTGTTTACGAACCCTTGCAAGGAATTAGAAATATGGATAGGACTCCCACTATCTAACCACCAAGAATTAGGAGGAAATCTATTAAGGAAGTTTCAAGACAGGCGAAGGTTTGTAAATTACCTTCTTTGTTTCTCTTTTCTAACCAAGCCCTATACTGTGCACAATCTCTTTTCCTGTGACCTCCCTCACGACAAAACCAACAGACTTCAATTTTCTTGATATCAGCTTTAGGTCCAACTACATTGGGTTTATAACTAGGTTTCTTATCAAACTTCCCTACTCTTGACTTTATTATTAAACCCAGACCTCTTGTGGTGGTGAGAATATCCTTTGCTATGACTATCTTTACCTGAATGTGGTTGATACACCAAATTCACACTCTCTACCTTTTGTTTCTTTCGATTTTCTTCTTCTTGAACACAAATAGAAATAAGTTGGTTCACATTCCAGGTTTCCTTTTGAGCATTGTATATGGTTCTAATTTGGCCAAAAGATGTTAGAAGGGAATTTAAGGCTTTGTGAACAAGGAAAGGTTTAGTAATGGTCACTTTGAGACTATTGAGACGATCAGTAATGTATTGCATTTTCAAAATATGAGCCCTAATCCTAGACACACCATCATATTGCATATTACATAACTTCTGCATCAGTTCCCCAGTCTCAGCTTTCTCAGACTCTTGGAATCGTTGCCTAATAGCATCAAGGAATTTCTTTGCATTTGTCTCATTTGGAACACTCACCTTGAAGGATGAAGAAATAGATTTCTTCATAACCATTATACTTAGCCTATTAGCCCTTTCCCACTTCTGATAATGAGCTTTCTGCTCGGTTGAACTGTCAACTTCGGGTTTAGCAAGCTCATCCTCAAACAAGGCCATGTCAAGATCAGCTAGACCTAATGCTAGCTCTATATCATTCTTCCAGGTAATGAAGTTATTTCCATTCAGAGTCTGTGGTGCAAATCTGATTATTTATTGCAATCGGACTAACTGTATAAAAAAAATTGGGTATTTGATTAGATTGCATGGGCAATAATAATATCAATAATAAATCCTCAAGAAATTCAAATGCATCACCATATATTCCCCTTTGGGCAGAACATACAGAACACATCTAAACTTCCTAACAAGTAAATTAGTAAGGCTAAATTCATAAATAATGTCCCCTTTGGACAGACATGTCTCCATAAAGTTAAAGTATAACACTCACTAACCACCCACATTTTCTAAACTAGTACGCACAATATACCCCTTTTTGGTAGGTAATTATTTTACATTAATTCAGAAAACAACCATCTCAGAATCCTTCTTAGATAATTCACATACATCATCTATAAATGACCTACTTTGGTAGTGTCATTCATAACAATTTTTAAATCACCTAACTGAGACAACCTTTTCATGCCCATAAAATTAATATATTTTAAAGGTTTAATCATATATTATCTAAGTGAAAATAATTTACTGAAAATTTGCTCAAGTGTCAACTCCTAAATCGAATGTTGACACTCTCACACGATTAAAATTTAAATCTGTGTTGGACTTGCAGAATTGCTGACAACTAAATAAGTGTCGACACCCTGACCTATTTTGAAAATAAGTCCGTGTCCGACTTTTGGATTATTATGCAATTTCTTAAAAGGTAAAACTGCAGCCTTTATCCCTCAACTTCTATCTGCGACCTCTTTTCCCCTTATTTTGTCCTTTCTCGAATATAATTATAATAAGAATCATGAACAAAAAGTCCAAAAGAGAAACACGAAACCGTCAACATTGAGCATATTACTAAAAAAACAAGGAATCATGATTTCGATCACAATAAAATAGATATGCGATGAAATTAATTATAATCAAAATAAATTATGCCTTAAAAAAATTATTAATCATAATTTTCATACAGTTATAATAGAATAAATAATCATATGTGATGCTTCTAATATATTTCATGAGTTTTATATTTAATTTGTGATAATTCTGATACCACATGTAAGAATTTATCCATATAAATATAATACAAATTAGATTCTAAATGCCATATCTAAATAATTAAATAATAAAATCATGTACCATTATTAGAAGTCACTGATCTATATACCTTCAAAATGAACAAACAAAAGAAATTAAAAGGCTAAATCTTCATTTCCTTATTCAACTTCTGTATAATGACAATCAATAGATTATGTCGCTCCTTGGCCCTATTATTTATAGACAGATATGGTTTTTTGAACAGAAGAGAAGACCTAACCCTATTATAATAATATTTTAAGCATCCCCATCAAGTAGCTTATCTTTTAAGCTCTACACCCATTTATATCACATCATATAAAATTAAGATAAAACATAAATCCATTTAGATCACCTAACTTTATTAGGTTTTATCTATTTTTTTCATTTGACCCATTTTAAGAAAAACTAAAATACAATTAAAGAAATCCACATAAAATTTCTAACAGTCACCGGCATGGAGACTCCACACAACTCTTGTACCGCAATTATGCAACTCTAGCGAGGTTGTATTTCGTCGAACAGTTGCTCGACAGGCTGTTGGAGCAGCTGAATGCCAAGCAGGAGGTTTTTCATCAAAACTTGTGAAGGGAGAGCATCCGTGCCCTCACATCCCTCAGGAAGCCCCGCCTCGGAAGACGGAAACGGGACTTCCAGAAGATTAATCCGGAGCCCAGCTTCCACTGCTCTGTCGATGGTTGTTCTGAATTGGATTGCTTATGGCTTGTTGCTTGATATCTTCAATTAGCAGGGAAATGTTGAGGTAAGAAGATCCTCCTTTTTCTAGGGCCTTCTTTGCCATGTCTGCAAGCTGTCTTGATTTCTTTCTTCTCTCTTGTCCTTCATCTCCTTCATCCATTACCATGTCCACAGCCTTCTTGATGTCTTCGCTCTTCACCAGCAGCCCAGAATCCCCTTCCCCCCAACAGCGCAACCTAGCTTTTGCCCCTACCCCAACACCTATTTTCAGGACTTGTACTACTAGTTTCTCATTGAAAAATTGATCAGCAAACAGAGGCCATGTTATCATTGGCAAACCAGCACAGATGCCTTCGAGTGTAGAATTCCAGCCACAGTGTGTTAAGAACCCTCCAACTGCTGGGTGGGATAAGATTAGAAGTTGAGGCGCCCATCCACGGATCAAGAGGCCTCTCCCTCTTGTCCTCGCCTCAAATCCATCTTCTAAGAACCATTTCTCCATTTCTTCTTTTTCATCCGCTCCTCTTAAAACCCAGATGAATGGCCTGTTTGTTGCTTCCAAGGCTGTGCCAAGCTCTATCAGTTGTGGAGCTGTAAGCCTATTGAGGCTTCCAAAACAAGCATAAATGACAGAGTTTGGTGCCTGTGAATCAAGCCACTTCAAACATTGATTTTCATCAATAGAGGACTTGTTACCTCTTTCAGCTTTATCTGACTTCTCTTTGTTGCATAGGGATGCAGAGCCAACACACCATATTTTGCGATCTTCAACCTCCCTGTATGTTTTGACATATTCTGCTTCCAATTCTTCAAAAGTGTTAAGTAGCACTCCATATCCTCCTCCTTCTGCTGCTAGTAATTTCTTTTGAACGACTCCGTTCATACTTGAGTTGTTACGAGGATTGATGCTGCTGGGTAGCTGACCTTTGGTGAATTCAATTCTGTTTGGCAATCCTGGCACCACAAAGTGTTCTGTTTCAGACACGTTCTCATGGACCTTGGAAATGTTTAAAGCATGAGAGCATAAGAGAGTAAAGCAATTCTTCCCATCAAATGATATCCTTGGAATCTGAAACTTGGAGGCTATATCTACTATCCATGTGAAATTCCTATCATATATTATGCAGTTTGGATGCGGTTTTAGCTCTGAAAACAGCTTCTCCACTGGTTGTTGCATCATTGCTACTGCAGTGTAGAAGTTCTCCACAAGAGTCGGAGAAGGAATTGTGTCTGCAAAGTCACATCCCTCTGGCAAACCGGCCTCTGTTGAAGGGAACCGGACTTGCAAAACGTGGATAGGCAGCCCAGATTCAATGGCACGGTTGATTGTAGGACCAGAACGGGCAAGACTTGAAGGTGTGGCAATTATGGTGACAAGTGCATTGTGCTTTGCAAACAATTTGGCTATGTCTATGAGAGGAATAAGGTGGCCTTGGGCCATAAAAGGTATGAAGATAAAATGTGGCCGATTTGAGGCCATTACAGTTTTAGTTGAATAACTGAAAATGAACCAGACAACAAGGTTCAACATATATAGGAATCTCTGCGGTGACGATGGAGATTCAAAAAATATTCTTCTCCATTGTCAATTGGGAGAGGGGGGACGTGAAATTTTTCTGCCGTTAAATTTTGCAGAAAATTTCCTCGGTCAATGCGTGTTCTATGGGATCCGTGTATAATAAAAAATATAGAAATTTTTATTTTTATAAATTATAATATATTTATAACAATATAAAACTTAATTAATTTTTATCCGACCTAAATTTATATTTTTATAAATTATAATATATTTATAAAAATATAAATTCAATTTGTTTCAAATTCCTACTGTTTTTATGCTTTTTTTATAGATTTGTTAGATTGTATACATTTGTTGGATTATTGTATTCATTTGTTAGATTGTATATATTTATTGGACCATCGTATGCAATTGTTTATTTCAAATTTCTATTCTTTTTTATTTCTTTATGTAGTACTTTTTTATAATATTTGTGACATTTTTTATTTATCTTTCACTTTTGTAGGTTTTTATTTTTATATCTCATAAATTACTTTTTATATAATATTATAAAATTTATTTT